ATACAAGTTCACAACTTCACTACCTTTATAAGCGATATATACGTATACATTCATACTCTCTGGGGAGTTCAGAGCAGTTTAGTAACAACATGCACAAAATAAAGATACATCTCTCTCACTGCACATTTCTGTTATTGAGCTATGGCTGTAGGGCTCACGAATATTATTTTTTCCCCCTTTGGCAGCTTCAGAAACCCTGTAGTGTCTCATGTCCCAGTAAGCTACAAATTAATTTACTATATCTGGACATTCAGGTAAAAACCTAGTAGGCAGTATTGAACTTAACACAGCTGGATTGCAGGTCTGTATGGAATTGACTAAATAGTGTCCTGTCCCAGCATGAAACTAGGCTTGTTGTAAACCCAGTCATGGATTCCCAGGCAGCTACTTATCTTATTAAATTTCCCCAGATCCTAGTCCACAGCAGAAATCATTGGTTTTCCTCCTGGATGTTAGCATCATGAACACTAGCTCTCAATCTGTGTTATGAATGGGTTAAAATGCTTGGGTTACATAGGGAGAATGCTAGAAAATGAATAGATAAACAAACATTTAGGTCTTAGCTCCAGTGAACTGGCACAAGTCTAGCTGTTTCTTCACCTTTGAGATTGTTGCGAAAATTTGCTACTGGCCCGTGCCAACTGAGGAGGGAGGTTAGGATGCAAAGCATAAAATTACAAGGGTAAATATTAATTCATGTGCATAAGGTGTTCCAGCCAAATTGGGGCAACCCGAATGTGGTTTTACACACAATTCTTATACCCTTCAAACATTCAGGTACTACATGATTTGACTAATCACTAACACCCACACTACTGATTATTAATCACAGTAAATCTCTGCAAATCATCTACGTTTTTGCAGAATTCTTAATGCTTATCTACTGATGCAGACATCCCTGGAGTCAGTCTTCTTGTAGTTACTTACCTATGATGCCAGGGGATGCCAGGGAAGGTTTTGAAGATGTGGTCTAGAATGCTGGTGTTATCTTGGTTGTCCACAGGTATTCTTTATCCTTCATGGACAAAGTAAGCTTCCAAGAAGCAAAGTCCTTATTTCCAAGACTAGGCCACTCTTTAGTTTCTTTTACTTAAGCAGGAACAATACTAATGCCTTCAATAAAATTTCAGAACTTTATGACAATACAGTGTATACTGTGAACTAATACATATTAACAAAATTAATACACTGTTATATTTTAAAGACAGGTTGATATAATAATCAAGGAAGGTAATTTTCTTAATAACTGATACACATACGCCATAAAAATAATAATTAAAAATACAGGTGGATGCATAGTTGACCAATGTAGATTGGGGTTTTTCCCCTTTCTGGTTCAGATTTATTTCCATTAAAGCTCAGGAAACAAAGCTCTAAGCAGAGGTGAATACTAATGGTTGCCCCGAGCCAGTGTGGAGACTCTAAAGGTCTGGTTTTTCACACTCCATTTTGGGCTGCCCCTCATTCCTTTTGCAACTCTGTGCTTCGTCAAATTATTTTCAATTCTCTCTTATGAATTTTTCATAAGCTTCTCCTCTTTCTCTGCTGGTTTTTCTTAGGAAGAAAACACATCAACAAACAAAACAATATCAACAAACACATCAACAAACAAAACAATATCCAGAGGATATTGCAAGGTTTTAATTTACTGATGTATGAATATTTTTCAGAAATCTGTAAAGGAAAATATGCTATTTCAGACAGTTGCAGTTATAAATCTGCCCTTGAAAAAATCTTGAAGATTTTATCCACTGAATAGTTCTGCTTCAAAACTGCTTGTCAAACATGTCCTCTCATGTATAAATAGTAACCTTCTTACTCTTTCCTCTGCCTGCTATTCTATTTGCTGGTGCCAGCTCCTCCCTTTCTTCTCCACATCTCTTTCTTTCCTTGTCTGTCTTTTTAGTCGCTCTGTGTGTATCTTGCTTTTTCTACCTCTGTCTCCCACCTCTCTCACTCTTACCCTCCTTTTTCTCTCTTTTTCCTTTGAAACTCTATTCCCCTTGTCTTAACCCAACCCCTCCCTTTTATCCTCCTCAGCTACTCTCTCATGGGTGGTTTTCTTCTCTTTGGTTTGTGTGGTCTGCCCTGCACATTCCAATTCTTTTCTCTTCAAGACCTAACATGTTTCACACAGTGAAGAGAGTATTTAAGAAGTGAATTATGCTTTGCTGTCCTCACCATCGTTTTAATAACTGGACCTTCTTCTTTTCTTCAAATATTGCAAGATCTGTTTGTGTGTCTGGATATTTGAAACTCAATATTTTGGGGAATCCCATGTCTATAAAATGAATGTCTGTCTGTGTAATTTGGAGCACAAGATTTTCTATATCAGTGCTCTCCAAACTTTTTTGATCACATACCCCTCTTGGTAAAAGGCTTTAGCGTACACCCACAATTTATTTGTTTATAAATTATGTACTACTGAAGTTCTAATATTTTTCTCCTGCACCCCAATGGGTTGTCTTGCGTACCTCTTGGGGTGCATGCACCCTACTTTGGAGATCACAGCTCTGTATCATGCAGCCACACTGTTGCATGATGTATGCTGGGTTTGTCACATTTAAGATTGTCCTGAGAGTCTGATCCACCCATGGTAGTTTTGGATTGAGAGCTTTTGCTTGTCTGTTTCTGTCATGTTGGCTGTGATTTTTTTCATATTGAGAGAGGTGAGTTTTTCTGGTGTAATAATCTGCCCAGCAGAGGGAGATTTCAGAAACTGGAAACTTTTTTTAAATATATAAATGCTGCAGCATTGCAAAATGTTGCAACATTGAAGAAAGAACATTTAAACGCTGCCATAAAATTAATCCCTCGTAAAAGATTGACTGTCAGCTCACCTTTCATCAGGTGAAGTTTTAAACACTGTTTGGATGTTGCATGTGCACACGTGCACAGGAACTTTTCCCAGACTTCCCCATTCAGTGTAGCAGTTTGCTCATGCTTGGCTTTCATTCCACAAGAAGGAGGAGGAGGAGGTTTTGGGGGGAATATTCCGTTACCATAAAGGGGAGGAAGTGTTTCTGCAGCTATTGAACAAAGCAGCTTGTTAACCTCTTTCCCGACCCCGGTGCAATGGTACAGTCCCTCTGCTCCTTTCTAGGGGCCAGATGCTCCTCATAGTACAAAAACGAGGAAGAAAGGAAAACATATGTGCAAGAATTTACTACCCTACTGAGTAAGGACCAGATTCCAAGAGAAGCTGAATACCTGCAATTTCTCCTGAAGAAAATTTCTTTTAGAATCAGATGGGAGAAAGGGGGGAGGGAAGTTGGAAGGAAAGAAGTCTGTTGTAATTGGTGTCTAGAAACCCCCACAGAGAGGATTAAGAAAGAAACTATGCTGTCTGGGAAGACATAGGTATTTGTGTTATTCTGTATATATACAGAACTGCTAGAAAAGGCTGCGCTGTGTGGAAATTAGCCCTAGGTTTTTGAATGCTGAGATGTGCCACTATCTGCTGATGGTACTTCTTTTAAGCAGACTTTATATATTTTATCATGCAGTGGGGTGTCTAATGTTCTTTGTCCTTTTGTATGTGTACCAGTGTCCTATGTGTAAGGGATTCACAGTCACTTTCTATTGTATATAATGTGAAGCTCATACTTCAAACCAAAGGAAGTCACTTTGTCAGCAGAAGCCCAAAATTCTGCTCTATGTTATCAAGTTATTTGTGAATTGTAAGCCACTGAGTTATGATATATTTTCCATTCAGTCCTTAATGCACACTGTGCTTACACTGTAGCTCACTGAACCCTTCATTTTCTGCCAGTTGCCTGTGTAACTCACTCAATGGCAGGTACAAGGAGAGGCTTATGCAGCATGCCTCATCCTCTAGCATTTCTCTGTGTTCAGCCCAGTGACATTTGCAGAATGAGAAAGGAGAGACCCAGAAAGATGCTCCCAGTCCTTTGTTTCTACTTTGGAAGCTGAGGTTCTCCCTTGGGAGAATTCTCCTTTGGGAGAATTGGTTGATTCACCCCAATGATTGAGGTTCGTTAGTATCTAGAATCAAACAAGCACCTTGCCTCTGTGACACTTCACAGAATCACAGAATGGGTAAGGTTGGTGAGGTCATCGCTGCCTAAGTAGGGTCATCCTAGAACACATTGCTCAGAGTTGTGTCCAGATGGTTATGGAGTATCTCCAACGAGAGAGACTCTACAATCAGTCTGGGCAACCTGTTCCAGTGTGCAGTCACCTGCCCAGCAAAGTTCTTCATCATGTTCAGGAGCAAGTTCCTGTGCATCAGTTTCTGCTTGTTGCCTCATGTCCTATTGCTTGGCACCACTGAGAAGAGCCTCGCTTCTTCCTCTTGATACCCTCCCTGCAGATCCTTATAGACATTGATAAGGTCCCCTCTCAGACAACTCTTCTAGATGCTAAACAGGCCCATCTTCCTCAGCCTTTCCTCTGCTGGACTCACACCAGGAGCCCCACATCTCCCTCGTTTTGAGGAGCCCAAAATTGGACAAAGCACTCCAGATGTGCCTCATTAGGGCTAAGTAGAGGGAGAACATTTGGAGGTAGAACTCAAGTAAGCACTAACTTGAGGTGGGGTTGCCGCGAACAGTAGGAGACACTACATAGTAACATGAATTTCAACAGTGTCAAGAGAGACTGGTCAAGGACCAGTCCTGTATGGCCAATCTGTGTCCCTCCTGACCTGAACCTGACAGTGGCAGGGGCGAGGTCCGGGGCTTGGGCAGGGGCTGGGGCAGGAGCAATTGCAGCCACGCTCGGGATCCCCAGGAGGGCGCCCGGCCGCAACCTTGAAGCTGCGGCGAGGGAAGACCCAGTTGGAAAACCCCCCTCTGGAAGAGACTGGGTGGGGGGAGTGGGAGGGGGCCCGAGCAGCACAGCCCGGGATCGCGAAGAGAACCCGGTGCCGCCCAGGGGTCCGCCCAGCAGAGCGGCTGCGAGGGGCGGGCGGCGGAGGGGAGGCTGCCTGAGGCGGCGGGGGACGGGGGACCCGGCGGGGCTGTGCGGGAGAGAGGATGGCGATGGCCGCGGAAGTGACAGGAGTGCCTGGAGCCGCCCCGGAGCGCGGGGTCTCGCAGCGCCCCCACCCCCCTTTGCCGTCACTGGGCCTCTGCGAAGGAAAGCAGGTCGGGGGGGCGGAGAGAGAATGGAGGAGGGGCACGGCGAGGAGGGGAGGGAGGCAGGGGGAAGAGAAAGCGAGAGAGAGAGAGAGAGAGAGGAACCCGGAGAAAGGGACAAGGCAGATCCTGGGAAGCGAGAGGAAAAGAGACTCCTGCAGGAGAGGGATCCTGGGCGGGGAGAAACCGTTCCTGGAGAAGGGCCTGGAGAGTAGCGAAAGGATCGGGACTGCTCGCGAGCATCCGACTTGTTGAAAGGCATCGACCGAGAGCCAGAGGCTGTGCACGGGGCCAGGGGACAAAGCGGCAGAGCTGGCGCTGGCCCGTCGGGATGGTGCAACTCGCGCGATGAAAAATGGTCTTTGTCCAACTTTTCTGATGCCGGGAGGCCGGTCGGCGCGGCTCTAACGGGAAGGGCTGCTGCGAAAACTGCTCGAGTAATGTGGGAAGTGGAAGGGGTGTTGCTGGAGTCCTGCACAAGGTACCGTGGCGGGCGATCGGGCCGGCAGGGACGGGCATTGTGAGCCCGACCGGAGCGCTCCCAGGGAGCGGGGCCGTGGTCGTGGGTACCCTCCGGTCTCTGCCATCCGAGGGAGGGGCAGACACAGAACAAACGAGTACTACTTCGAAAGGGATTAAAACTCCTCGGGTTATGTGGGGTTTTTCCTCTTCTCCTGGTGTCTTCTGTTCTAAGGCTGCGTTACTGGGACCCTCCCCCAAGCGCACCTCTAATGTCAGGTGCCGTCTGTGGGCACGGAGAGGACAGATGTGGGGAATCGCGTCGTCTTCTCCGCTCACGGAAATTACTATCACACACAGACACGTTCCACAGATGCTCGGTGCGTTTGGTGTGCTCCCATGCCCGTTGTTTCCCTCTGTCTTTAGCTCTCTGAAGAGCCATAGGGAATTGCTGCCTTTGAAGTCTCTGAAGTAGGGGTGGATGGATGCTGGTGTAGGTTCCCGATTCTCATGGAACGATACGAGGAAGGCTGCGTGGCCTTGTGTGTGGGTAGGGTTGTTCAGCGTTCTTTTGGGGGACAGATGGCTGTATGAGTGCTTGTGGCAGAGAAAAACCATGTTAACCTATTTTTCAAGGAGATGATGCAAGTTACTACTACTCAAGCTAAATAAATCTGTGAATGTGGGAGGGGCTGTTGTAATGGGTAATTTTAAATTTGCGTTTTGTGGATCTACTGAGATGATTTCACTTATTCTGAAGCGTCTCTTGCTATTACACTCACTCAGTTGGGAGGAAGGGTGAATATCACCTGCCTCTCCTACAAGTTCTAAAAGTCAGAGAATAAAGATGTGGAAGCAAATCTCCCAGGGGTCATCCTTCACTATCAGTGTACCAAGTTATGCAGTTTCATGAGGAATGAGAGTGAGAGGGCAAATGGGAACAACAAAGTCAAGAAGAGTTGCTTCCACCAGATACCTCTGATGCAGAGACACATCTGCAGCTTCAGCTGGGGTGGAGTGAGGCTCCCTTTTTCCTTGTTATATAGGTTCTAATCAGAAGCATGGAACTGAATGTGGTTGCACTTCTTGTGTAGTCACAGCTGATCCACCTGCCCTAAGCCATTATTACAAGATTTACTGACTATTTTTCGTTATTTCTTTATTTCCAGTTTGAAATAATTCCAGTGGTGAGGTTCCTTTGGGAGAAGGAAAGGAAAAGATAATCCACAATTTAATAATCCTTTTCCATTGATGTTACCCCATCTCAGTGCTGAAAAAAAATACTATCTGTTTCTCTCTAGAACTTCATTCCATAAATTCAACACCTTGCCACTACTTCAGTTTATTTTACTAGTGTTTTGTCAGGCTTCAGTTAACTGCATGTAATTGCATGCTTTCCTTTCCTTTACTGCCTCTTTCATGTATGTTGTCTTAGCCTAAATATTTTTCTCCTGTCTTTTGAGTTCCCTCCTGTTTGGCTTTCTTGCACTTACACTGAGCTGCTCGGAATTGTTTACGTGTCCAGGTATTTTGATACTTGGAAAGCCCATTACTGTGGGATGCTGGAGATTGTATGAACTGGGATTGTATCTCTCTCTAATTTAACTACAGAAACCCTGCAGAAAGGCATGTCTTCTTTCATTGTTCTGAGGTTCTCAGCTCTTCCAAGCTGTTGTGGCAAGAACAGCTTGGGTTATAGAGACTTTTTGGAAAGGGTTGGGGGAGCAAAGCCTCCTATCTTTTTCTTTACCCAAGGCTGTTACTCTCTTTGCCTTCTGTATTTTACTTTCAGGCTGACCAATGGTACAGTGTAAATCCATTTTTGGGGGAAGGCAGCTGGTGGGTCCAAGGAGGCAGCTGCTTATTCTCCAGCATGCTCCCATAGGCTTCCAGCAGATGTGTCTGACAAGGGAGCTGATCCCTCAGTCCATTGAGAATTGTCTTCTTTATGCCTGTACAAACTCACATCCCTCTTTGTGCCCAGGTGCAGATGTCTTCCCCTTCTCCCCTTTGATATTGCATGTGCCATGTGCAGAGAATCATGTAAGAGATAAGTATAATTTTGCACTCCTTGTCTTGTGTGCCTCCATTAAGATAAAATGGTTTTGTGGTCAACTCTCCTTCCCTGGATACCTGCACTGTTACAAAATTTATGCATGCTTTTCCTCTGGCTTCAGGAATGCTCCCCTTTACAGATCTGCTCACCCTAAAACCTTCTTTCCTTGTGTTTCATGCATTATCCCTCAACAGTGCAGAGGTTATCCTAAAGTCCCTACAGATGACTGCAAAATACTTTTGGAGCACATTTAAGGTTGCAAAGTTTATTTTTAATTCTCATTTCTGTGGCCATATTGCACATGTTTACTGCACACACAAACGGTAGAATATGGAAGAAGTACAAACTGGTGTGTATGGTCAAGCTAGAGCTTTATAGTGTGGTTTAACCACCAAAAGAAAAGGTCAGTATCTCCCAAAAAGGGTGCTATTGTGAAAATGTGTTTATTTAGAATATTCCAGATTGGCTGTTCTTGGTTATAAACATGTAATTTTATTATTTTTTTTTTCAAAAAGCTAAAGACTCATGTCTGTGAAAAGTTGATTAAAACTCTGTGGGGAAACTGACGAGCCTCCTGTAAATATTGTCAATATTTTGTCATTTTTTTCCTTAAACCTGCTTTAATATTATATTAGTGTTATATCTTACTGTTTAAAAAAATAAAAAGTTTATGTTTTGTTAGCAAGTTTTGTATCATCTTAAAACAATAGAGATAAAGTACTTCTTCCAGCTACCGACTCCACACTTTCAGTGGTTTTCCAACCCTTTGCAACCTTAATAATTTAGCTTCTGTGTGTTGAGTCTTGGGCTGAGCATGACTTGGGCCGAACATTCCTCTTCTCCCCGTATTTGCTCTCTTTGGCAACCATGCAGTGTCATGGACTTCTGGGGTGTGCACAAGTTTAACATTGTTATTCTGTAAATAATTCTGTAGAGGTTGTACAGTAGTAAACTAGCTCTCTGTCTCCAGTGCTGCTGACTGTGTTGTGTAAACAGACCCCCAAAAGGATAAAAACTCCTTAATTACTCATTTCAGCCACGGCACTCTAACATGTGACCAGCAGATCTGAGTAAGAAAATTCCATTTCATGTTGTCACTCTTCTCACCTTTGATTTATACAAGGAGCTTCAAACTTAACAAAGAAGAACTACACTAGGACCTTGTTCTCAGAGGCATGTTGTGCTTTCAAGAAATATTCCTCTGCCACAAGCAACAGAATTTTTTTTAAGTGTAGCATTATCACGTTATATTTTAAAAAAATAAAATTAAAAGGTGTGTTCTTTATGGAGGTACTGACCCACTGAAGGCACTGTATTGCCTCTTAAAAAGTCACTACAGAGCAGGCTGATGCTTCTGTCACAGAATTCCCATTTGAAGATTGTTCTTGAGACCACTTCTGAAAAAAGCTCTTCTAGTCACTGGTTTCAATTTTCCATGCCTCCAGAGGCCTCTGTGCATTCTGTTGCTCAGGCTTGCTTGTCAAGAAAATTTTTGTTCAAACGTTTCACATGCACACACCCCCACTCCCATATGCACGTGTGCGTGCGCATGCTCGTGTGTGCACACAGCAATGGGTAAAGAGGAGAAAAAAGAGTGCTGTCCTGGGAAGAGAGAAGATGCTGGATACTATAAGAACACAGCCTTTCCAGTTTGAACACTTTAGCCTTACGTATAAAGGCTGAGTCCTTAAGGTCTTGATTCACCTTTGGATGGAAATTCTCGCCAGCCCAGATCTGCATATTGAAACATATATGACTTCATTTTCAGAGAGCCTTTTTTTTTTTTCTGTCTGCTCAAGCTTGCCAAGTAAATGATTCCTCTGCTGATTCTGCAGTTTCCAAGTGCAGTTTTTTGCTCTGTGCCATGTCTCTGGAAAATATCCAATGTGTCTAAATCATGTAATTAAACCCTAGAAGCTAGAGACGGAGGACTACTGACTCTTTGTAACATTTCTGTTTTAGCATGCTGATGTTTCTTCAAGTTACTGTAAAGCTTTCAAAGCTCCCTAAATGACCTGATCTCTCTCCCACTTACTGCAAAACACTCACATGATATGAATCTGTTTGGCCCAGCTGACCACTTCAGAGGCAGTGTGTAGGATACAGACGCCTGCGTGGAGGCCTTTAGCATCAGGCTTACCACAGGTTCTCTCAGATCCTGAGGATGTCTACAAATGGAAGCACAGCTCCTTGGCAGAACTCTCTTATCTTCCTAACTATTCTTTAAGAAGAGAGTGGGATGTCACAAGAGGGACAGTATTGTGGAGATTTCTGGGCAGGTTTTGAATAATTTCAATTTGGAAATTCAAATTGGACTGTTTATAAAACTTTTTGACTTTCCAAATGTAAAGTTTCACCCACAGCTAGGATCAATTTGATTACAGCACGCAGAATCTGGAATGCTTTCTGCAGCAGGAAGATGTTTGAAATTATTCCTCCTTGGGTTTGAGCCAGGAAGAAGCTGCTGGAAGCACAGCTGGATTGGGGTGTTTGC